CTGGGGTACCTTCTGCTTTAGAGGTGCTAGAAAGGGCCAGAATGGGCCCCTTCTAGAAAGCAGGATCTGTGGAAGGAGAACTAAGGGTGAAGAACTTAGGAGGAGAAATAAAAGTGATTCCCCTAGGCAGTGTCCATCTGAGCTCACCAAGCTAGGAGAGCAAACAGATTCAGGCAGAAAGAGGAACCGTTTGGTCTAGAAGTCGTGTTGAAGTCACTGATAGCTGGTTAAAGTGAGAACAGAACCAGCTGCACAGTTCAAGGAACCTCATAGAGGAGGAAATCAGATTTATTGGTGGGCAAATGTGCAACCTGTTGGGAGATGAAGGAAGACATTTAAGGGTGGGGAGATAGGATCAGCTGATCAATCTGATCATTTATATATGCAATCATTTAATGTGTGTTTACTTGATTAAATTTATATTACCTGTGTTACTTTTAATTGTGGTAGTAATATGTACAACAATTCAAAAGACGCAGACTTATATAAAGAGTAGGAATACTGTTCCCATCATTGACTTCCCTTTCTTTTTTTTTTTTTTTTTTGGTGAGGAAGATTAGCCCTGAGCTAACATTCATGCCAATCCTACTCTTTTTGTTAAGGAAGACTGGCCCTGAGCTAACATCAGTGCCAACCTTCCTCCATTTTATGTGGAACGCCACCACAGCATGGCCTGACAAGTGGTGCGTTGGTGCGCGCCGGGGATCCCAACCTGGGCCACCAGCAGCGGAGCATGCGCACTTAACCACTACGCCATGGGGCTAGCCCTTGACTTCCCTTTCTGATGTCGTCAGTGTAACAGGTTGAAATGTGGCCTCCATATATTTTCTATGTCTATAAAATCCTGGTACTTAACAGGCTTATATATTTGGTACTTAAGAACGTGGACTCCAGTATTAGGTTTCCTGGTTTTGAATCCAGGATCCACCACTTAACACCTGTGTGACTTGAGCAAGTAACAAATTCTCTGGCCATCAGGTTGTTTGTTTTTGCCCATCTGTAAAATGGGCATGGTGATAGTACATACCTCATAGGTTTATTGTCAGGATTAAATAATTTATGTAAGGCACTTATGATAATGTCTGGAATCTGGTAAGCACGGCATTGTCATTATTGCTACTAAAATTACTAAGACTACCGTTATTATTATTATCTTTGCTCATACAAAAATAGGTTTGTGTCCTACATATTCTAGTGATCTGCAATTTTCACTTAAAATATATCTAGGACATTCTTCTAGGTAGATGCAAAATAGATTTAACTCATCCTTTGTAATAGCTATGTGATATTCTATAATGCACATTATTATAGTTTACTCAAACATTCTCCCTCTCAAATGTTGTCTTGCCACACGGAGCTTATTGGTATCAGACTAAGGCCGACACTGCAGTGTCACTCACAGTGCAAGAGAGGGGACAACTGGCAGAGAGAAGGGAAGCCCAGGTGTTCCCTGCAAAACCCCACTGACCTTGGGTCTCCAGTCCAGTCCAGGAGATAGGCAGAAGGAGGAGACTCAGCAGAAAGTTCCTCTGCTCCCCAGGCCCTGCTTTTCACATCTCCAGGCCCCCTGCCCATCCCTTTGTCACTTCTCCACAGATATTTCTTCTCCCGTGGACTAGCTCAGAGTACAACTAGAGAGACAGGAATGTGAATTCCCTGCTGTGGGTGTTTGGAGTATGAACAGTGGCAGTGACACAGGCGTAGAGAGAAGGGGTCTGATCGGCAGCTCTTGACTGGGTGTATAAGTGGCTGGCTGGGGGCTATGCCCCAGCGTCTTGTATGGCAGGTTCAGCGGGCTATGGGGTGGTTGGGATATGTGGATAGATATGGCTTTGGGTTAGAGATCCTGCACCCACAGGAGTCAAAAACAATTCTGGGAAACATTCCTTGTCATTGATTTATCTCCATTTCTAGGTTTTCATTTATCTCCATTTGTAGTTTGGTGTGACAGTGAGCATCCTTGTATATATATCTTTAATACAGCTGCTCTTATTTCTGTAACAAAGGTTATTAGAAGAGGAGTTGCTGGTCTAAGGATAGGCACGACTTTGAAACTGAGTTGCCCCTGTCGATTGCTTTCAGATCCTCAGTCCTTCCAGCAGATTGTGATAGTGTCCCCATAGCCTTTCAGACATTGGACATTAGCTGCCTTCGTCTTCTTCACCTTCTCCTCCTTCTCTTCTTTCTCCTTCACCATCTTCTTTTTTGACAGTCTTATGGGCAACACGCATTATGTTTTCAGTTGCCTGATTAGTGAGATTGAGCATATTTTCATGGACTAATTGGCCATTTAAATTTCCTCTTCCTGAATATCTTCTCTGAGAAGAGTAGAATTTCAATAGATAGATGTGGGAGAGGAAACAGGAAGGAAATTGAATCTAAAATGAAAGTAGGGTATATCAGGGACGCCAAGTATTCTGGAAGCTGCAGAGAGGTTGAGTGGCAGGAGATACGCTGGAAGAGTAAGGAGCAGCCAGCCCTGGAGACCCTAAACCCCAAGAAGAAGCTCAGATTTTCTGCTGTTGGGCAAAAGCGAAGCTCTGGGGGGAGTTCTCTTCTGGAAATAATACCATCCGTGGCTTTAGAAGAATCAAGGTGAGAACAGATACTGGTGACTTAGAAACAGGATCCCTTTAGTAGAGGAATGAGTTACTGAGGACCCAAACTAGGTTAATGGCAGCGTGAGTGGAAACCATGAACGACAACACTGACGAGACTTGTGACCAGCTGGATATGGAGCATGAGGGAGAAGGGACACAACTGTGACTGTGGTTGGCTGTCCTGCTTGTTTGTGGACACCAGGAGGAGCAGGGAAGGGACAAGCTCTTCTTAACCAACTGTTTGCTAATTGTGTCCTCTCACTGGTTCTTTGAGGTAGAGGTTACCCTCATTAACAACCAGGGACATCGAACTTATGTAATTTACCTAAGAGGAGCTAGTTTGGAGGGAAAGAATAAATTTAAGACTTCTTTAGTTTTAGAGACCACTACAGACGGTAGAGTGTGCTCTTTGAGTAGGGGTCTTGAGTTTGTTCCTTACATCAGGTCTTGAATTTATTCATTACATCAGGATCAGGCCTTTTCATCCGGGGCCTGGGGAAGGCACAGGGAAGCCCTCTGGCAAGGACTTTTTCAAGGGCCCACAGAAATATTGAGGACTAAATATAATAATAATTAGTATTAGTATGGCTCCAAAATATGAAAACTACAAGGTCAGAATCAATAAATACTTAATCCAATGTTTGTAAAATCCAACATTAGATTAGTTTTTTTCACTTTATAAGAAGTCTGTATTATGTACATGTTTAGTTTACTCTTAACCAAGTAATTATAAACAAGTATACATATGTGTGTATATATATATACGTATATATAATAAATAATTGAGTACTCATATATATATAATAAATAATGGAAAGGCAGTTAACCTGTGTTATTTAATTTAATCCTCAGGACACCCTTATGTGGTAAGTACTATTATCCCTACTTAATAAATGAGGAAACTAAGTCTGAGATGTGTTGCCCGATCTCACAGTTAATAAGCAACAGAGCTTGAGTCAAACCCAGACAGCCTAACTATAGAGCCTGAGCTTGTGATCACTTTGCCTTATTGCCTTGAGAGTGAGCATATTCTCTGATAAAGGGAATAGAAAAGAAGTAAGGGCCAAAGAAAAAAACATAAAGATTATCTGCATTTTCAGAAGAGATAAGGGAAGGATAGAAAGTAAGTGGTTCAAGAGGTTGAAGATGATGAAGTTGGCTTAGGCCATGACGTAGAGGTCGTAAGAGCCTCAGGGACCAGGGGAGCAGCATTGTCCAGTGCCACCAAGTTTTCGGTGAGGATGACAAGCCTTCAATGTCCTGATTATAAAAACACATCTGTCCTTGAGGGATCTGTTTCAATAAAGTGCATATAGCAGAGGTCGGACTGTAGAGCGTCCTTAAGCGGGGAGCTCGGGGTGAAGAAGCAGAGGATTTTTGTGAGTACACATCCACAGACATACACACCTCTCTCCGCTGTGTCCAGGTACAAGTAAGAATCTGCCATAATTTCATGATGTGTTACCTTCTGCTTCTGGTTACCTGGGACCTGGATTCAAGCCACAGAGAACTTCTGTTTACCTCTTACCCAGCCTGTGACTGTGACCAAAGAACCTTCTTTGAGAACCCAGACTTTTCAGACTAAAATTCTGGGTTCCCCAAGTTGGGATAAGTAAGATCAATGTGAGACTATTCACATTGGGGTGGAGTAGGGGTGGCACCACCGTATTAGTTTCCAGGAGCGACTATAACAAATTACACAGACTGGGTGGCTTAAAACAACAGAGCTTTATTATCTCACAATTCTAGAGGCTTGGGAAGTTTGGAATCCAGGTGTTGGCAAGGTTGGTTCTTTCTGGAAGTTTTGAAAGATAATCTGTTCCTTGCCTCTCTCCTAGTTTCTGGTGTTTGCCGCAATCTTTGGCATTCCTCGGCTTGTTGATGCATCACTCTAATCTCTGCCTCTGTCTTCTCATAGAATTCTTGCCTGTGTATCTGTGTCTGTGTCCAAATTTCCTCTTCATATAAGAACACCGGTCATTAGATTAGGACCCACTCAAATCCAGTATGACCTCATCTTAACTTGATTACATCTACAAAGACTCTATCTCCAAATAGAGTCACATTCACAGGTACCGGGGGTTAGGACATAAACATGTCTCTTTGGGGACACTATCTGCCCTCATTCTTCACTTCTGTTTGTTCCCTTCTGTGATGGAAAAGTGTTGAGCTCTTTTAGTTTGACCACAAGAGTTTAAGAGGACAGGGCGCGATGGGGTCTCCCAGATTGGAGACACCAACCCCCCTGGTGAATGCTTGAGTCATTTCACAGTGTCAGTTTTATCTGCATAATGGGAAGAATTGCCCCAGCTAGTGGAGGAATGAACTGCTTGGCTTGCTTGCTTGTTTGTTTGTTTATCTGTTCTTCACCAAGCTGAGTCTTTGCTTTCCTCTCTGCAGAAACTGATCCAGCCATGGCGACTCCCTCAGCTGCCTTTGAGGCCCTTATGAATGGAGTGACAAGCTGGGATGTCCCTGAAGATGCCATCCCATGTGAACTGCTTCTTATTGGAGAAGCCTCCTTCCCAGTGATGGTGAATGACATGGGTCAGGTCCTCATTGCTGCCTCCTCCTATGGCCGAGGCCGCCTGGTGGTTGTGTCCCATGAGGACTACTTGGTGGAAGCCCAACTCACTCCCTTTCTCCTCAATGCAGTGGGTTGGCTTTGTTCTTCCCCTGGGGCTCCCATTGGTGTCCACCCATCCCTGGCACCCCTGGCCAAAATCCTCGAGGGCTCTGGCTTGGAGGCGAAGATTGAGCCAGAAGTGAAAGACTCCCTGGGGGTTTACTGTATTGATGCCTATAACGAAACCATGACTGAAAAGTTGGTCAAGTTTATGAAACGTGGAGGGGGCTTGCTCATTGGAGGGCAGGCCTGGGATTGGGCCAACCAGGGTGATGATGAAAGAGTTCTGTTCACGTTCCCTGGCAACCTCGTGACCAGCGTGGCTGGCGTGTACTTCACCGACAACAAAGGGGACACAAGTTTCTTTAAAGTCTCTAAGAAGATGCCCAAGATCCCAGTCTTAGTTAGGTGAGTGCATTACCCCAGCGGGGAGTTGGTTACAGGCTGAAAAGCAGATACAGTTCTTGTCTCCAGGTTACTCCCAGGCTAACAGAAGAGCATTTGGCACTCAGATATGGATTCACCATAAATCAACCATATTTTTAAAAAACTCGGGGCACAGGAGGAGCAGGGTCCCAGGTGCTGCTGCCTCCTCAGACCAGACCACTTAGCTCTTTTAGGGGAGAAACTTCTTAGTGACAATTATGTCCCCCAGAGTCCAGCTTAATAAAATATGTTGCTGAATCCCAGAGCTGGCATTGCTAATCCAGGAAGGTTCATAGCAGAAGGTCGCTTGCAACTGAAATGTGAGGAAAAGGAAAATGGACATGAGGGACTCCATAAGACAAAATCTCACGAGCTGGGGGACAGGTTCTGAAATTTCCAGCCAAGTGAGAGTGGGATGAAAGTAAGAACTAGAGGATTCAGAAGTTGAGATAGCAGAGAAGATGGCACAAGTTGTATGTGCTAACTCTAGGAGTTAGGAGAGGATTTTATCTCGGTGGGCAAAAGACCTGGTGATGGAGAATGAAGGAGGCAGGTGATGGAAGCAGAGACGGGCTACACTGCAAGTTCCTTGAGAGCATTGCCCAGCCTGTTCTGTTCATATTGTGCCCCAGCACCTCACATGGTGCTGAACATCTAGCACATTAGTTGGTGCTCAGTAAACATTAGTTGGATGGATGAATGGGAGAGATTAGAAGCTGGAGTAGTCCCAGGAGTGGGAAAAGTGCACCAGGCCATGCCCTATATTGTCTGTTAAAACTCTCAGCATCCTTGGAGCAAAGAGCACTGGTATTTCTGTGATGGGAGCAGAGTAAGGTAGATTGGGTGGAGAGGACATTCCCAGGGTTAGGGAATGAGCTGTGGCCTTTCCGTGGCATGGAACTCCTGGAACACCCCATAGCTCCCATCTCACATGTGCAGTGAGGAAACATACAGTTGTTCAGAAGCATAGTGATTGATCAAACTGATCAAACTTGAGCTTACCGATGATCTTCATCCTAGGGAACAGGAAGGTAAGACTTGGCCATAAATCTTTTTCTTTAGCAGCCTAATCCTCCTTAGTTGCCTTAAAAGATGTTTTTCTCTACCAAAACCGTACTCTTTTTTTCCCTTTGGCTATGCCTAAATCATCTCTCATCATCACTGAATCTGAAATGTTTTGGGAGGTTAGGATGCATCTATGTGTGGGCATATGCACACGTGTGTGTGTGTGTGTGTGTGTGTGCATGTGAAATCAACTTGAAGGGTAATGCTGGTGGAGAAATCAGACTTAACGAGGGAAGTATATAGAATCTACTATGGAGATTATGGGTTATTAGTGTTGGTTATTTACTAGATAAGATTGCATTGCAACTTTTGACTCTCTTTGCGTATCAGGAAGGTACATCATAGTATTAGTCATGTTAGGTAGGTCGTTTTTTGAATTGTGGATGGATTTAAGATGGCAATAGTGATTTTCCTGAGCTAGCTTGCTGAGAAGAAGAAGAAAATAAAAGGTGCAAGAGGGTATGTGTGTTATTTGAAATACTGATTTAAATGCATAGGTTGAGATGAGTAGGGAAAAGGAGAAAACATAGACCTTTCCTCCTCACCCCACAGTTTTCTTAGTTATTAGCTCTCAAGTAGCCAGTGCTGAGAGGTAGACACTGAGCTATCTGTCTCCCACCTGGGGTTGTGGTGGTTACCAAACTATATATATTTATCAAATTTCATTAATTGTATACCTGAATCAAGTGAACTTTATGTAAATTAAACCTCAATAAACCATCAAAAATAGTTTTTTTTAATAGAACTTTAAAAAATAAAGAAACACTCAGATATAATCAGATTTATGTGTAAGGATTGCAACTATGCATTATTTGTAATGGGCAGAGCAGAACAGTTAAATAAATTATGCAGCATTACACAATGGATTATTAACTAACCATTAAAAATATTATGCTTCCAAAAATATTTAAGGACAAAGGGAAATTCTTTTGGGGGTACTATTAAATGAATTAAAGTAGGATACTAACCTCTTGTTTGAAATGTTCCCAATTTTGTTCAAAAAATACAGCTATGTGTAGAAAATAGTATATAAGAAAAAAGTCCAAAATATTAGTAGTGAGTAGATCTCTGGGTTGTGGAATAACAGTAGATGATTTTACTTTTAAACTTTAATTTTCCAATTTTTCTATGAAATCTTATTAATAATGCATATATTTCATTACCTCACTTCACATTGCAAGAACATTAAAAGACAAGAAAAATAATTCAGAAGTCTCATTAAAGATCTTCCACATCTGTACAGCTCACAAACACTTTTTATTACATAAGCAAAAAATATAAAACAAAATCTAACTCTCCTATTAGGTCACTTTTTTTCACTTTCTAGTATCTCTGATATGCATACATTGTATATGTATATATATACGTGTGTGTGTGTGTATATATATATATGGTATTGCCAATATTTTTGAATTATGATTCTTCTTCATGGGACAACTCTTTCAAACTGCTTTTCCAATATTGCTGGATCTCATTTTTTTAATTTTTATTTAAAAAGTATTAAATCATAAACCCACAACATAACTCTTTTCATCATTATATATTATTTTCCCCATACATTCATAATTTTACATTGTTGTTATCTTAGTATACATGCTATTTTGAATTCTGCTCATAAGTATTTTTCATTCTACATAATCTTTAAGATTATATTAGATTCACTGCATGCGAACGTGTGTATGCCTTATTTATTTAATCAGTTGCCTACTGTTGAGCATTTGATCTTTCTCCACTCTTGTAATCGGTAATACTGTACAAAATATCTTCAAAGCATTTTAGAAATATTAGACAATGCAAGACACCAAGATGCTTCAATTCGGATTCAAGAAGGAAATATTTCCATCACAGGCTGAGTGAGGTTCAGATTGAAAGCCCGTATGGATTTAGTTACTCTGTCAAAGGGTCTTGTTATTTATTTTTAAACCCTCATTTAAATATGTGAGTGTGAATTAATATAGCTTTAAACCTACTGCTTGCACATTTCTTACTGGTCCAAATGAAGATCTAAATAAGACCTTGATAGCCTCTCAATCTTCTAAAAGAGGAAACTGTCTACAGGTCTTATCGAGATGAATCAGATTTTTATTAGAAGTTATTACTTTTATGATCAGAAAAATAAAATCCTAAGTAGTAAAACCAAATGAATTCCTTTTAGCCTGGTGAGAATACCCACAGATGTCAGGATAGGAGCCTCGTAGTCACTGCCCTCACTTCTCACCTGGAACGTGTCATGATCTGCCTCCACGCCCAGAGCTGCCTGTAGTCTGTTCCCTGAGCAGTTTCTGCTCTCCCTTCAGCTTTCTCGGGGGCAGTGGCTACTGTAGTTTGTGTGCAGGACTAGTCCCACATTCTTTCTATTAAATATTTTATTTGAACAGACACTAGGTCCTTTGTCATAAATTACTCGTAGCCTCATTGCAGGACCCAGGATTCTACTTAGAGATTTCGAATATATTGGAAAAAGCATAGACTTGAGAGAAGGCAGACTTTCTATTTAGTAAGTTGCCACACTCTGTCTGTTGCTTGCTCTGTAACCTTGTGCCGTAGCTAACTTCTCCACGCCTCGTCTCTCAAGTGGGATTAATAATGACTGCCTTTTGAGGTGGTTGTGAGGATTAAATGAATTAAGAACATGCTCAAAGTACCTGAAACACTTTAATTATTTTGACATCCGGCCTCCACACTATGGTATATGCAAGCGTCTGATGTGAATATCATTCCCAACCATTGAAAATGACCTAGCGTCCATCGTGTTGTTCCAGTTGTATAAGGTATTGACAGTTTAACTGATATTTTTTTCCTACTTCCTCTGCCAAACTGAGGCAGCATCATTATGATCAACTGCCACATTTTACCCTCTTTATACTTTTAACAAAACAGGTACTAGAGACTGAATTGGCTTTACCAACAAAGGATTTGATGCAGATTAAACATCATTAGATAACCAGTCTCAGGGAGGTTTCAAGAGAATCAACGAGAATAGTTTGTCTATTGGATAAGAAGGCCTCTTGTCTCATTTTAACCCAGATCTCAGGCTTCTATTAAAGAGTTCTAACTCAGTGTTGTTCATTCATCCATTTACTTAGTTAACATTTATTGAGTATATTCTATATTCCAGGCGTTATTTCTTATTTCAATAAAACGATTTCCAAAGATCTGAGAATTAGGACCACAGAAACATCTCCAATAACCACACCTGGAAGAAATCGCAAAAACCAAGTAACTGTTGTGGGAAGAGGGCTGTGATATCGTGGTTCAGTGGCAGCTGGAAACCTGGGATCTGCTGATGGTGACTGCACAGTGTGACCGTAGCATGTCCTTTCAACTGTTTTTTTCCCCTCTAAATGGAAAGCGTTGGAGTAGAAGGTCCTTGTCTCCATTTTAGCTATTACTTCATTGAGACTGGTTTTCAGTCTTCAGTGATCCCTGAATGTTGTACAAATGGTCATGCTCTAAAATGTCCATGTGCTTCAAATTCCTTCACTTGAAAACACCCTTGAAACCTGAATTGACAAACATTATTAATTGATGCCATATTATATATATATATCCCCTTCATTTTGAAAGATGATGAAGGGATATTATACACACACGAGTCTTTTGAATTCTAGATTATTAAGATTTAGGAATTTTGAAAATTGAGTATCCACTTGAAATGAGCTCAAATGAAACAAGAAAACTGCCAAATTACTGAAGATAAACATGAATGTGACACCCCAAGTAGTTTGGAAAACAAAAATATCTGAGCAGATATTAATAAGTTTATTTATAACAAGGATCCACAAAGCCTTGGAGGTCGTTGCTAGTTATATGTCGAACATATAGAATGCTAATTCTAGATGTTATGTCAGAATCGTGGCCAGGCAATAGGGGTGAATATACTTACCTAACTTGTACTCTGTGCTTCTTACTACATT